CACTACTGCACACACTGCAACACACTGCTACACACTACTGCACACTGCTACACACTGCTACACACTACTGCACACTGCTACACACTACTGCACACTACTGCACACTGCTACACACCCCTACACACTCCTACACACTGCTACACACTCCTACACACTCCTACACACCCCTACACACTTCACAGAGCGAAGGTCCTGGGCACGATCTTCGCTGTCCTCTATAATCACAGTTAGCCTCTGACGTTAACGTGTGTTCAGTTAAAGTCTCAGTTGTAAAGAAGCAGTGACAGTTAAACTCTGCTGAACTTATTACATCATCACCTGTTGCAGCAAACCTCCACGTTAACTCCCACTGAGCGAGACATCGACACTTCCTCCATCGTGACACGCTGTAGAGGCGGGTCATCTGAGGTCATGTGAGGTCATCTGAGGTCATGTGAGGTCATGTAAAGCTCCCAGGTGTGAGGTTCGGACCAGTGACCTGCGTAGAATCCCGTGTTCAGTGTGACGGACACATTTCTTACAATGACGTTCAAAATAAAAAAAAAAGAGGAATGAAAATGTGACAATTCTGAGCTTCCTGTGAATGAAATGACGAAGAGACGGAGCGCTGACTGAACTCCCGTTATAAAGTTTCACTCCGTCAACTTTATCAACCATCACTTTATAAACTAACATTTTTTGACCACGACCCCTCTCTCTCTTTGCTGTAGAGTTCTGGGGAGACATCGCCAAAGATTTCTTCTGGAAGACCAAACACACGGGTCAGTTCCTCGACTACAACTTTGACGTGACCAGGGGAGAAATCTTTGTCAAGTGTATGGATGGAGCCTCCACCAACATCAGCTACAACCTGCTGGACCGCAACGTCCACGAGAGGAAACTGGGCGATAAAGTGGCCTTCTACTGGTCAGTGTGTGTGTGTGGGGGAGGGGTGAACACCAACAGGATTGAATACAAACGAATGGCATGAATGGAGCTTCAGTCGTCCTCTGTCCTTTGTCTTTCTCTCACATTCCTCCTCTCATTCTTTTCTTCCCTCCTCTGTCTCTGTGTTCCTCTTTCTCAATCTCTGCTCATCTCTTTTATTTAGATTTCCTCATCTTCGTCATTGGACACGAACCTGCTCACATCTTGTTTTTCATGGAAACACTGAACTTGTTCCTGCTTCTTTCATCATTCTCCTCTTTTGCCCACATTCGCTCTCAAGTTCTTTCCCTTGAGCTTTTCTGCCTCTTTGTCTTTGTGTCACTGACGTGTCCTGCAGACGAGCCCACACCAGGCAGCGAGGTTATTCAGGGAGAATGTCCTGTGTGATGATCGTGTGATTGAATGAAACCGTCATCGCTGGGATCACAGAAGCAGATGAGCTGAATTTTACGATGGGGGGGGGGGGGGGGGGGGGCAGGAGAAGTTTTGTTGGTGAAATAATTTGAACTGTGAAGTAATGAAGTCCTCAGGGGGAGAAGGAATCCTGTGTTGATGCAAATCAGCTTTTGAGGGAAGCATCATTAAAAAGTGGACCGAGGATGTTTTGCTGGATATTTTCAGAAAGACGTTAAGTCGTCTGTTCTGCTGCAGCCAGAGTTTTAAATGTTTGCTGCGAACGTGTTGAGTTATTATGAGACGTGACTTTTCTTATCAGAGCTGATTTATTTTCAGACTTTGTGTGGGTGTGACCTGATAACAGAGTACAGTAGGTCAACGTCTACTCTCAGATGATGTTACGACAGACTGAAGGACAAAGTGAGGAAGGTTAAAGATGGTGGAGTCAAATCACGAGAAGAGACAACAATGTAAAATCTGTGAAAGTAACGTGAACTGTTTCTTACGATGAACTGTTACGACCCAGTCTCCAAATTAGTCCGAGTCAAAGTCCGAGTCGTGCACCAGGAAATGTTTCCACGCTGCCTGGTGCTCTAGGGTTGGGCTGTCAATCAAACGGGGCCCGATGGGCTCGGATCACGTTTCTAATGTGGAAACACAAGAAATCTTTTGACTGATTGATTCCTGCTGCCACACCGAACACAACACGACAGTAAGAGATGGACAGAAATCATGAGACAGGACAAGTGTCTCCTCCCAGAACATGAAAGTAAAGTCTCCTTTCAAAATAGTGAAAAATATGATATTCATTTCCGGTCACACGGCCTCTGTTGTGCAGTGATTAGGTTTCAAACAACACAGAAAGTTGAAGCTGCAGCTTCAGTGTGAAGCTGAAGTCACACAACTGAGGTTTTCTCTGAGCTCTACCACACGTGGTGCAGGAGATAAAGTTTGACCTGATCTGGAGCCGAAGGAAAAACATTTCTTCAACTGGGACACGTCAAACAAAAAGCTTGTGTAGCTCAGAGTTTTTATCAGTATCCACGTCCAGTATCAGTAATTACACTGTGCTCGACCATGCAGCGAACACGCAGCACATCACGTGCTTCACCGCTCTCACTCAAACTGTTTGTCAGTGGAGGATCCGCTGCTGTGTCCACCTCCTCCTTTAGACTTTCTACAGGAGCTGTGAGGAGACAGACAAACTTCGTCCTCCAGAGAAGATCCAGAGAACTGAGGAGATCATGTCTGAAAGCAGCTTCACCAAAACATTCAATATCCAGAAAATACATGTACGTTAAGTTCTTGCCGAGACAAAAGTTACAAGAAGAAACTGAAACATGAGACAAACTGTTCCTGTTGTTGTGAACGAGTCTGACCCGACAACCTGCTGCTGCTTCTTCACATGAGAAAATCTGTTGTGAGGACATTTCCAGAGTTTTTGTCTGGACACTAAACGCAGCCTCGTCTTGTTTACTATTGAAAGTCAGTGGTTTCCTGTGCGGTTGGTCAAACGTTTTGGTTTCTGATGCCTGAAAACTCCGTGTGATGTGGACGTAGCAGCAGCGATTCGTTTTAAAATGAATCGTGGCTGTAGCCTCGGAGTGAGGAGGCTCAGTGACCCATCGTCTTCTGATCCGTCCAACGTTTCCACGCACACCAACGTGTTCCTTTGCTTTGTCTGACGACCTCAGTGTGAACACAGCAGCTCAGATATCAAGTTGGAAATGATCCTGAAGGTCAGAGCTTTATCATCGGTCGGGTGTTTAATGAATGTAACTCCCGTCGGCCGTCAGTGCTGAACTGGGTCACAGAAGTTTCAGCTCCACATGCTTTGCTACAACCAACTCTGAAAATACACTGGAACACACACACACACACACACACACACACACACACAAACTATCTCCCCTGCAGCTGCTGAATAAATAGTGTGCCTTGAGTCGTGCCCTGAACTAAACACGTCCCTCAGAGGCTGCGGAGACAGAACAGGCTCATCCAGCTCGGTCACTTGTGTCGCTCACACTTCCTCCACTGTGTCGTCTCAACAACACAGAGAACAAGCCAGAGAATGTTTGCACTCTGGTTGCAGTACAACTTCAGCAGAGTTGTGAAACTCAACTTGTCTCAACTTTGCTCATTTTCACAACAGAGAGTCATCTGGACATTTGAGGAACTGACTGCACTTTTTATTTCTACACTCACACACGAGTCACGACGGCTCTGCCTCTGAGCGTCGTCCTGCTCGGCTCTGAGCATCACAGTCGACAAGCTGAGACACGTGACGGACACTTGGTGACGGAGGGAGCGAGGCGGGCTGAGAAAAGGACGGAGGGTCTGGAGCTGCGTCCCAGTTCCTTCAGATTCTGGTGCATTTATCCTGCAACATAAATATGAACCAGCTGGTTTTTATCAAGATCAGTGAGTTTTCAGAAAACAGCAGAGTCACTTGTTAATCCCAACAATCGTCCATTAACCTGCTATAAGTTAAAAATAATCATGACGTTGACTTGAAGTGACGTCGCTCAGCTGTAGCTCAGCCTCTCGTCACAGATCAGTGGTCCTGGACGTCTCAGGGCTCTGGATCGAAGCTGACTCTAAAGTCCGTCCACTGTGTAAAGAGCTCAGAGTGATGATGATGATTAATCCTGTTCTCTAAAGTTATGAAACGAGGAGTCGTTGTGTTTCTTCAGGGAAGGAAACGAGCCCGGCGACGAGCTGACGGTGACGTACAGAGAGCTGCTGCAGAGGGTCTGTCAGTTCGCCAACGTCCTGAAGTCCCAGGGTACGTCACACCCACCTGACTCACAGCGGATGTTCAAACACTCACATGGTCTTTACAGATCCTGTGTCAGTTTCTGGTGCAGGTTGTTTTCAGGTTGTTCTCCTGGTTTATCTGTGTTTGATGTTGAGTGACAGAGTAAAGTCTCGTCTGCAGGCGTGAAGAAGGGCGACCGCGTGTCCATTTACATGCCCATGGTGGTGGAACTGGTGGTAGCCATGTTGGCGTGTGCCCGCATCGGAGCCGTTCACTCCATCGTGGTGCGTTATTTACACACAGCACACGCGTGAGCGGGACGTCACTGCGTGGAGGACGCATGTTAACTCTGTTGTGCTGCGTCCAGTTCGCAGGTTTCTCTGCTGAGTCTCTGTGTGAGAGGATCATGGACTCCCAGTGTTCACTGCTCATCACTGCAGGTCAGAAAATATCATGTGGATCTTCATCGTTTCACTTTTCAACTGTTCTCTCAATGTTTGATTCTCTTTGTCTCTTCATTCATTTCTTCATCTCGTTCACTCAGATGGTTTCTATCGAGGAGACAAGCTGATCAACTTGAAGCTCTTAGCTGACGAA